AATGAAGGGGGGGGAATCGGAGGGGGAGACGAACCATGAGAGACTATGGACTCTGAGAAACAAACTGAGGGGGGTGGGGGGATGGGTTGGCCCGGTGGTGGGTATTAAGGAGGGCACGTTCTGCACGGAGCACTGGGTGTTCTACGCAAACAATGAATCATGGATCACTACATCAAAAACTAATGATGTAATGTATGGTGATTAACATATAACAAAACTGAATTTAAAAAAATCTTTTTTAAAGATAAATAAATAAAAATAAAAATGAAAAGCTCTTTTGCTTTTATAAAGATTCTAAGTTTTCAAAGCCACCTCTTACTCTCATCTGTCCACCATTTCTGCTTTCCTGTCTGCTGGCCTGAGTAAAGGTGTTAACTCAAGGGCCAGGAAGGCCTCAGGTGTTTTCAACAGAGCCCGAAACAAGCCTCCTCCCAAGAAACCACCAGCAGTTACCGGGAGCAGGTCTGGTAACCTCACAAGTCCTGTCCGGCTGGGCTGACGGCACCACTGGGAGCAAGCCGGCCACAGGAAGACAACTACGCCTGAAGCCAAGGGCAGACCCTCGGGGCAGCGAGGGGCTGGCTCTGCGCTCCTTCCTGCTGGGCCTCTAGCGCCTCGCTGCTGCGGAGTCAGCCACCACGGCAGCCCGAGTGAGGCTGCGGGGACTGGAGGGGCGGCGCACGGTGGCTCCAGGGCCAGGAACCCAGCACCTAGAGCCTGGAGGGGCGGCCTGCCTACGTGGCTACGCACCGCCCGGAACATCACCCCACTGGGCACCCCTGTGGCGCTGGCAGGCCATCCCAGCCTCCTCCGTGGCCATCCCTGTCCCGTGGCGAGCCATGCCGCCAGGCCCCGGGACCAAAAGAACAGAGCGAATCTGAACCGTGAAGCCCAGGAGAGCCGTCGGGACCTCACACAGTGGCGTCTTTCCTGAAAGCAGCCCGGGACCGCGGGCCAACGAACAGAGGCCACACCCGACCTACACAGCCTGGCGAGGCCTGGTCCGGACGGTGTTAGGGTTGGGCTTCCACAAGTAATTACCTCGACCACAGGCTGATGTTTTCAGAGGCTCCTCCTGCCGTCCGTGCGTCGTCCACGGCAGCTTTGGCAGGACTGAGTAAATGCAACACAGAACCAGTGGCCTGAAAAGCCAAAAATGTTACCACCTGGCCCTTTGCAGAAAAATCGCCCTGAGGAGAAAGCCCTGCCACAGCCCCTTGCTGGCAGGTGTCTGGAGGCCTCTCGATGTCCCATGAAGCCCGTGTTTTGGAAAAAAGTCCCTTTCATGGTGGCCATAGCGGACACAGCGGTGCCCAGCGGACCTTCCACCGCCCTCCCCACCTCCCAGGCCCAGCGGCACAGCTGGCCGCGTGACAGGGATGCCCACGGAGAGTGGGGGGGCCTACCAGCACCGCAGGGTGACCTGTGAGGTGATGTTCCAGGCGGTGCCGCCCCACACCGTTTGCGTCCCTTGAGCAAGCAAGGAAACCTCCGCTGCTGAGCACAGAAGATCTCAGGGTTAGGTCTTCCCGTAACACGTTCTAGTCCCCTCTGGTATCTCACAAAGGTGGCACAGGGGTGCGGTCCCCTCTGCGTCCCTCTTTCCCCACAGGGCACAGAGCCTGGCCATACGACAAAGGCCGGGATAACCCTGCAGAGGCCGCCACAGAAAAACTCACGTGGCTGAAGGAGCACAAGACTGACTCAGCACAAACAACCGCGGCCAAGCTCACACCCTCCCCACCACCGGGGAGAGACGACAGCCCTATGGGTGAAGTGTCAGGGACAGGCTTCCCCTGTGCACATACAGCTTCTGTGGCGGCTACGGGGGAGTCACCTGCAAGCGTCTAGAAAGTGGATGGAATTGGAGGCTAGATCCCCCGAGTGGTGAGGAGGCAAAGCACCCGATCTGAGCAGCCTCTGCAGAAGACTTTCTCATTCCCAGCCCCCAAAACTCATTTTCCCTCCTCCACTTTATGTCATATCCTCTCCCACTTGTAATCCTTCTTCTCTCTGATGACTCTGCTATGAGCACACTGCTGTTAGCAACTTAAAGATCCTGCACCTGGAAATGGCATCCCAGTGCAATTACTGGTCAGACAGGAAGGAGCAGGTACCCCACAAGGGAAGACACAAGAGGCCGACTCCTTGAGGGACCCTGGGCAGAACACGGTGAAAGGAAAGACGGTCTCCTCTTTTCTAAGCAGCAAAGACTGTCCTCCCCGCCCAACCTTACCAGTTCCAGTCACTGGGGTTAAGGAACCTGTCCTGCGACAAGAGACGTTAAGCGGGACCAAAGAAAGCCTGAGAGCGATCCGCTCCACTTGGCCTGGGCACCTCTAGCTTTGCCTCCTGCGCCCACCTCTGGGTCGGTCCACACAGTCTCCAAGGCCATCTCTTCTTCGAGAATCCTAGAAATCACTGGACGTGAACTACAGTGTCATGAGAAAGCCCTCCCCCCACCACGAGCAATCCGTAGCCACTGCTGGGAGCTGAACACACTTGCCCCTCACCTTCGGGGACGAGGGACACAGCCGGCCTCCCGTGAGAGTTAAGAAGGGGGAGCAGGGCCCACGCCACTCTAACAGTACAAACGCGAAGCCTCAATCCCCCAGTCTGGCCTCAGTTTCCCTTTCTCGCACACTTTACTTGAGGAGAAAGATGTTAAGATATGCAACAAATACAAATAGAATTATAATTTTTTTCACCCATAAAAAGTTACCTACATAGTGAATTTTTTCCAATAATAAAAATAACATTTGTTAGCTATGAAATTTCCAATAATTTTAAAACACTAGTAGAAAGTAAAAGCTATCCATTCCTCACCCCCAAAGACACGGCACAATCATTCAACTCCTTTTCTCGTATACACATGCAAACTCTATTTTTACATAAAATGACATAATACTATGTGCAAATCGTGTAACTTGCTTTCTCACTTAACAATACACACTGTAGACATCTTTTAATTTGAACTTACATGATTTACCTCACGCTCCTTAAAAACTGCGTAGTATTCCACCGCACAGACGAAACAAGACTTAATAGCCCTCTTCCCTGAGCCTGATTCTCTCTCCGGTCACGCGCCGCCACCCGAGTCCGGGTACGGTGGGCCGGAGCCCGAGGGCCCACGGCTGACAGCATGACGCACTCAGGCAGAAGCCAGTTTACGATGAAGGCCAACGGACCTCCACCCTCTGCTCTCAATACGTGGCTGTCAGCAATTTCTCCTTCTATCCTACAATGACATGGGCTAGATTTTTCTCATTTCAAGGTCCAAAATTCCTCGCAATCAAAGAATTTTGGAGAAAATATTACGTGGCCATTTTCTCTTTGACTGTTTCATCTCAGCCTCTAACTTCTGGCAACATCACATTTGGCACCAAACCTACATATGCACGAAACAAGACCAGTGGATTTCAAGGAAAGCATGAGGGCAAGTATCACTTCCATCTTTCAACCAATATACATGGTTAAGGTTGTCCAATTTAAAATATAGCTTGCCAGATAAGACTAGAAAATCCTAGAATATTTAAATTAAATACCTCTAGTTAACTGAGTCATATTTCCAAATCTTTAAGTCATCCCCAGTCTAAGAAAAATATTTTACCATCACACTGGCCTTTAACAAAGCCTACTATCGAACAAGAGTGAAACAGGAATGTCTGCATATTCTTTAATGCTGAAATGAAATCAAAGCACCTTACCCAAGCAGCTTATACCTTATACAGCGGACGGCGCACATCGATGGGGCAGTTCTGTATTACTTCATCAACGACATCTGAGATGGATTCCATAAAATCTGGGTTGGCAAACTAAATTTTACATAAATATAAAAGAAACATTATACATTTCTCTCAATACGAAAGAAAATTCTTTTTAAAAATTAACTTTAACAAATACAGAATTTACCATACCTTTCAAAACTTCAATTGGAATGTATAATATGTCAAATGAACCCCATGTGACTGTGTGTAGTGATGAAGACATATGTCCCCTCAAGAGAGGAGGTGGCTGGGTTTAGTGAAGGAAAACTAGCAAACTGAACAAAGAGGCTACCCTGCGTTAGGAATACACGGTGTATCATGCTGATAAGAGACTATAAAAGCACGTTCATGATACATAATGAGAAACACCATGAGCAAATGATGAGCATAACACTTATGAATATTCGTATCTTGAAAGTAATTAGCCAAGATATAACCAAAAAAAAAAAAAAAAAAAACCACAGTCAATGAAAGATCACTGTAGTGGGCCAGAAGATGGGCGCAGGGGTACCCTATCTGATGATGGTGGCTTTATTTTTTTTAAGCAGGCTCCACGCCCAGCTCACGACCCTGAGATCAAGACCTAAGCTGAGATCAAGAGCCGGACGCTTCACCAACTGAGCCACCCAGGTGCCCCTGACCTGATGATGGGGGCTTTAAAATGACATAACCAACATGGTGATGATCAAGCTACTGAGTGAACAATCTTATACTTGATTCTCTAAGTTAAATACGCTAAAGTATAAATCAATTGCATTTTAAGCAGATTTTAAAAATCAAGAAAAGCTTTAATGTACATTAGTTTCAAGGAAAGAAGGTAACACCCAGTTGCTCTCTAGCTGTTCACCAGACACTGTCCGTTTCATGTCTGTTTTAGGTCATTATCACCAAAGGCATGCGTGAGCGAGCATGATGCCATTAGGTAACAGTAACACAGACATCTGTGTCACTTCCTACACAACAGTCATATACGCACCTAAAAATAGGCAGCAGTCTGTAACCTAGTGAATATAAACTGAATTAGGCAGGAAAATATACCAAAATACAAATGAAATGCCTTCTATTTAAACCTTAAAATGCTGCCTCATGCTTACCGCTCCTGCAAAAGTAATAATTCTTTGTGACTAGCAGTTAAAGTGCTGACATTGTAATCCTTACACTACTTGACTAACGGAAAGACTAGTCCTCCTCCGACAGAAGCTGTAACTGCCCCGCAGGACCAAAAGTCCTGGTGAAAACCCGGACTAGGAAGGATGGTCATGAAAGACGGAAAGAGTCTACGTTACCCCACTTTTAAAAAGAGGCAACTTGCACTTGGTCCCTGAGACTGACTAGTTTTCGCATCAGTGTGAGATTGATTTTAATTCCATTCCTTCTACTGCTCTTCCCAACCACCCACGGTATGATCGGTCATGAACCATTTAACAACCGGGTCTGTGCAGAGGCAAACTGAAACAGCCGCCCGGACACACGGACACATGGACACATGGCAGACGGCACGGGGCCTGGCGTGGGGCCTGGCGCGGGCACACCAGCCCTCCTCACACTGCTCTCCACACACACAAGGTGGCAGTAGCGCTCCACGGACGCCTGACTTGCACACACAAAGGCAAACCTGATCTCACCTCTGGGTGAAAGAAAATTTCAGGTCCCAGGAATCTTTCATAGCCGACATCTATGATGAACTTCTTCTGGTTGATCGCATTGATACCCGTGTACTGCTTGATCCATTTCCGGGGATCCACGTCGTATTTGGCAAATTCCTTGACTATGTCAGGGCAAATGTAGCAGTATTTCTCCTGCAGACACGAACACAAACAAAGAGACGTCCACAGGCATTAACTAGGCAGAGTCTCCTCCCGCTACCAAATACCCAGTGACCCCACGCGTTAAACACAGCACGACAGTGTGTGGACGTGCCGTCAGGCCTCCTTTCTGTCCTCCTTCACAGCCGACGGGACCATGCTTCGATTCTGGACATGTAAGTCGGCTTTCTCAGTAGCTCAGCTATAAATCTCAGCCTTACTTTAGCACATTTTGTTGCCATATGATCTGAAACAATGTCTAAAAATGTCTACTAAGTGTCCTATCTCGGGGTGCCTGGGGGGCCCATCCGGTTGACATCTGCCTTCAGCTCAGGTCATGGTCCCGCCAGGCTCCCTGCTCAGCGGGGAGTCTGCTTCTCCCTCTCCCTCTGTGATCTCTCTCGCTCGCTCTCTCAAATAAATAAAGAAAAATCTTTAAGTGTCCTGTGTCATCTTTCCTTTACTCCTCTGAGGTCCCCCTCTGGACCAGCAGACCTGCGCTGAGTGCAGTAGACTAATCCTCACGCCTACCATGACCAGTAATTCGGTTGTGAGCCTGCTGTGCAGTCTGACACGGCACGGTCCCGGGCTCTGTGACAAGTATTTACTGAGGGCCCGGGCACATGGGAGCTACAAAGGAACAAAAAAACACACACAGAGCCCTGCCGCTGGAACATACGCTCTGGCTGAGAGCTGGACAGTAAATGACGGCCGTGGTAAATAAGTAAGTGACACAGTATGTTACAAGGTGGTGGATGCCCCCGAGAAAACAGAACAGGCAGATGTAGACGGGAGGACCGGGGCTCCTATACGCTACTGCTGCATGAGAACCCGCTGATGCTCGGCAGCCGGCACCAGCAGCCAACCTGAGACGCGCCCAGCGTCCCCTCAGCATCTGGTAACGTGTGACTGGGAATCTTTGTCCCCAGAGCTGACCTCAGCAAACCAGCAGGTGGCACTGGGGTACCAGCTTCTGCAAGTAAGCGTTCTGTGGGCCAAGCGGGCTCTGTTCACCAGCGGCACTGCGTCGGGCACGCAGCTCGTGCTCATTACGCATTTTGGGAGGACCTCTGCGGGTGTTTTCCTGATATTAAGTCCAAAGTTTTTTAGAATTCCCGAAATGTATTCTAATACCATCCTTAATAGACTCTCGCACAATTCTGAGACTTGACAAGCCAGGGTTGTTACCATCCCTGCGCTCCCTGATGCTAGAGAGAGGGTGAGTCAGGCAATATGACTCTAAAGCCACCAGGCTGGAGACAAAGACGTTAGGCTGTCAGAGGCCTGGTCCGTTTCCTGCGGCATCTCAACTGGCTTCACGGATCCATAAAGAGCCTCAACCGAGTTGGCTGGAGCGTGGCAGTGTGAGTCTTAAATTCTGGAACCTGCTGCAAGGATGCTGTGTGCCTACTCGTGACCATGGGGGACGGCCACGGGAGTAACATGACACTGGGGTACCTCCCAACCACTCTTGCCAGAATCTTTTCTTTTACAGAAAGCAGAGAGGAGACAACGAACAGCAGGCTCAGCCACACAACAGGGCCAGCACAGCTCATCCGGAGGGCACAGGAGGACGCCCGGCCTTCACTGCTGAGCAAGACATGGTCACAACCTGAATGGCAAGCTCCAATTTCAGGGCCACAATTGGACCCCGGACAGCCTGTGAGCAGAGTAAACACTGCTACAAGGACCAGGACTGCACACGTCATCATACTCAGAAATCTTTACTAAAAATGGAACTTTCACAGTCACCAGGTGGAGGACCCCTGAGTGTCAGGGACAAGAAGTTCAATCCTGATTCACATTAGTGACAGATTTGGGGTGACAAGAGAACATGGATCAAATATCCAAATTTCTTTCGTTGACGAAAGGCAAGGAAAAAGGGAAAATCTTGGGAAATATTTTAGTCTAAAAAGAAAGTCTTATAATACTGCTGTAACCTCTGCCCCCAGGTTTGCCCAGGGCAAACTGTTCTAGCCCTGCGGGTACCCAAGCCCTGACACTCCAGTCCTAGGGACGCTGGGGCAGCTAGCCATCCTACCAGCCGCACCCTGTCTGAAAAATACCAGTTTTTACCAAGAGCGGCATGCAAAACATGGGGTCCTCACTGATGACTTTTCTTCGACCAGCCTGCTCCTGGGTGCTTAGATGGGAGGTGGGGGTTTAGGCTCGCCTCCCCTTAACAAGCATGTGTTCAATGAAACAGGAGATGCTCATGGTCACACGTCACACTTCAAAATTATATTCCTCTCCGAAAATAAACAAAACCCTTCCCTCTTCATCCATGAGGGTTATCCTCGTATTACTAAAAGTCTCTTGCATTTTGGTTAAAAAAAAATTTGTCTTGATTTTGAAACCTAAAAAGAGAAGTTCCTTCAGAAAGGGTTTGTCAGCTGCCACATACAGAGTAATACAAAGACTAAACTGATGGATCAGGTCACGTGGACACTTTAAATAAGGACCAATGAGCCATTTTTCTTCTAATCTTACTGATTTAAATTGCAAAACGTCCTGTGACTTCTCCAGCGTGGTACCAGAGTCTAGAAAAGGCAGATGGATTTTGTTTAATGACCTGAGATTCTAGAATGGCACTACTCTCAACTGTCATTCTCAGGACACAGAACCTCACCCGAGTACCAGCCATCAGTCTAAGTACCAGCTGACTCGGCCGAATTCCCAGCACCGCTGTTGCTGGGGTTTGCTCCTTATTCCAGACATGAAGCACAGAGGGAGATATGGAAGGCACATTCCGTTAACTGAAGGTTCCATCTAATTAGGCTCCAATTAGATGATGCTGTACTCCATGCACCCTGTGCTCAATACCAGTTATCAAGCTGTTCCCATTTACGGCCAGAACCTCCACAGCATTCACACGCTCAGAGGAAAAGGCTAAGCTTTGAGGCTTTCAGCCCCTTGACTCAAGTGGCAAACAGAATAAGACCCACATTTTCGGGAGGGGAGAGGAAGGAGGGTGGGAGCAGGGGTGATGGCAGAAGGGCAAGTGTCCAAACACCATTTCTCTCTCACCCCCAAACCGGCCCATTTCCCATCTGTTTTTACCTTAATGGCTTTTGCGGTCTCCAGTGATTGCTCAGGAGGGATTCCCACCTCCCTCTCCCTTAGCAGCTGCTGAATGAAATACGTAATATCTCTACCTGCAATCGGGATGTGTTTGATGCAGCTTCCAATGACATAACCTTCTGCCTAGGGAAGAAGAGGAGGCAGAACGACGGGAATGAGTAACTCTAGCGGGCAGAGCTCCCCAGACTCTCTGCTTCCTACCCCCTTGTAGCACAGCATTTACTGAATCCCCACGCCGGGCAAAGCTCAGGACTGGAGGTCTTTTAAAATGACTGCATGCACAATTCCCTTAATATAACCTGAGACTCTCTGTAAGCAACCAAAATGATTACATCAGAAAAGTGAAGAGAAAAACCAGTGCATTTCCAAAAAGTCATGCCGTCTGTCAGAACAGCAAACTGTTTTATGTTCCTTTAACAACAAGGAAAAAACTTTACCTATAAACTGTTAAACCAACTATAAACCTACTTATATTTAAGAGTCAACAATCTGGTTAAGTACATGGGGCTTAGACTCAGACAACCTGGGTTCAAATCCTGGTTCCACGACTGTCCGCTGAGTGACCACGGACAAGCCTGTCAACGCGTTTCAGCCCCAAAACCTTCATCCACACCATGGGGCAAACAATACCCCACATGTGGTTTACAACACAGACTTAAACACAGTAAGTCAAGCGCATAGCACTGTTTGGGGGATGTACTCGATATTTGATAAATGGTCCCATTTACTGTACCAAGAGCTGCACTTGTTAGGAATAATTCTGATAAGTTACCCCAAACCCTGTGCAGTTTGAGACCAGTGCTGGTCAGGAGTTGGAACCCTCTGGCTGGACTGCGGGGACCAGGAGAGGACTGCGGCGCAGAGTTTGCAGGCCGGCCCCAGCCCCTCACCAGCCATTCGGGGGGCACAAGTTGTTCCGGAAGCCAGGGCCTGGGCCCACAGCCCGCTTGCTCTCTGGGGGCTGGTGGCCATAGTAGACGGCTTCCTACCACAGTTCCATCCGAAAAGAGGAGACACTCCAGGCTCCACATTCCAGCACCGGCTTCTATGCCACGTGCCCATGGGAGACGGGGGATGGAAGTGACTGCCAACCTCACCTTACGGGCAGGTCGGAGCTAAGGATTACCAGCACCAGACCCAATCAGCAGTTAAGCTGCAAGGACAGGTGCCCGAATTCCCCTCGTGTGTTTTCTGATGTACCTGAACTCTAGAAGTAAGAAAAGATTTGGCCTCTCCACAGTGTCCAAGCTATTTGTGAAATATTTAAGATGGAAATAAAAGATATGTACAAATTATTAAAGTAATAAAGATTAACTTAAACTCACAAGAATACTAGCTAACACAAACTATTCACAATTATTACATTCTATGCATTACATGTAGCATTTTCTAAAATGAAGTCAACCAGCGTTAAGTATTGGCTTCATCACAACATTAAAAACATTGAAAAAAAAAAAACCCTACATGTCATACAACAGGAAAATAAATGAGTAAATTATCCCATACCTACATGATGGGCTATATGCAATTATTAAATATTCACAGAATATTTAACCATAAGAGAAAATAGTAGGGATAAGTCAATATGCAAAACATAACTTCAGGATCGTATTATACAATTAGAATACACAACCAGACATAGAATATTCCAATTTTGCTTAAAGCGTGCATCCTTGTGCACCTAAGAAAAAGAACTGGGAAGGTGCTCCAAACCAAAGCATAATGCGGTTCTCTGGGCAGATTTATGGGTCATGTTACTTTCTTCTCCACATTTCTCTGTTTTACACAAATTTTGTACAACAAATGTAATTTTTACAATCAGAAAAAAACTGATAAAAAGACACAAATAGAAATTTTTAAAAACACTTCCTCAGTGGACCTGTACACTATGTGAAATCTGTTTTCTTTACTTCTCCTCATTTGAGACATGGGATGGGCCAAGCAGCAGGCCCTCCAGCAGCCCCACCCCCGGGGCTCCGTCTGCACTGAGGTTTGAGGGCATGATCTCAGAGAGAAGCCTGATGCCAGAATTTCCCAGTCAGCGTTACAGATTGAGTGGCACTAACACTTCACAATGACCCAGAAGAGGAGTAAGTGTACTGAGACAGGCCCAGTACTCCCAGCCCAGGATCTGCAGCTGTCACCGGTGCCTGCCCTGTCTCTCCCGACCCCTCTCCAGCAGGGGCCCCAGGATGGAGCATGGGACAAATCCGGCATTTCTTCTTCCTGACTACAGATGTCTCTTGAAGCCTGAATGAGGAGTCACTTCTCTAATGTTTTGAAAATTAAAACCAAAAAGTGACATTGCAGAGTATTCTGTGAGTCAAAATGTATAATCTCTCCTTCGTTCTTGAATACATTTTAAAAAAACAAGAAGTTATTCCTCTAAAGCACGAGGTGGTCAAAGCCATACACATCCTGTCACGGAACAAGTGGTCGTGCCCCACGCCGACAATCTGGTCTCCAAGATGCAGCTCGGCACGTAAGCCGGGAAAACCCCACGGGTGATGCTACAGTGAGAGGAGCGGCAGAGGCCACGGAGTCCAAACCACGGCAGACGCCCTGACTGCGGACATCTGCCACTGCAAACTGAGAACCTCCAATGCCACGGTGAAGGGGCATCTGTCCTTTCTCCTATACCTGGTTTTCAAACCTCCTGTTACCTTTTCTAAGTACAGCCATGACTCTTAAAGTGGTATTTTAATTACACAAGGGGTTTTTTCTTTCATTTCTACCCTTACCTCAAAATTAGGTGAGGCCTACAGAGAGTGACGCATTGACTATCCTGCTTACCACTGGGATAGCGTGAGTGACCCCATCCCCGCTGTCAATGACGATCCCTGTTAACGTGCGTTCCCCAACTTGCCGAGATGTCCAGGATGCAGCTAAGGCCAGCACTGCCTGGATAAAGGACGCAGAAACTGTTAGCACACAGGGAAATGTTTCTCAAGTCTTCTGCCTGCTTGTTCTCAGGCTCACTGACAAGCTCTTTCTTAGTTACTCCAAGTAACTCTCAACCTTCCCTATCCTCCATCCTCCCCCCGCCGCTCCAAAATTCAAATTCCAAATTGCACAACACACAAATTTAGTATACTTAAACTGGATGGGTCAAGTTTTCGATAAAGTAAATCAAACGTTTACAAAGGAAAGCCCGTGGGAAAGAAACTTCACTATGGAGTAAGAGGATTTTAATTTCTAAGCCACTAATTCCCAGCGTGGGTCCACAGATGGGCTGCGGTAAGATCACTTGCGGAGTTTTTTAAAAAACAGATTAGTAGGCCTCACGCCCACAAACTCTAATCTGGTAGGACCAGGGCAGTGGTGCTCAGCCAGGGGATCTTTGCAACGTCTCGAACCATTTTGGATTGTCGCACTTGGAGAAGGGGAGGCTGGTGGTAGTGCTTCTTCTAGTGGGTAGAGGCCAGAAAGCTAAACATCCTGCAACACACAGGTCAGCCCCTACCACGCAGAACTACACATTCCGAAGCACTGAGGTTGGAAAGCCTTGGTCTGAGATGAAGCCTAAGAATCTGTTCTCATATAAAAACTTCTCCAAGCAACCTTGACACCTGGCTGTGGTTCAGTGTTTTCTAAAGTACTTCCCTACTCCATGGGATGTAAATAATCCGGGGAAGAGGAGACTTCTGGTTAAATAAATTCGGAAGTGCTGGAATGAACAGATTTCTTCAATGCAGGCGTTCTCAGGGCCTTTACTCTGCTACTCACTGTGAACCACCAAGTGCAGGCTACAGCGCGCAGGATCTCCCAAATGATTTTCCTATGCAACTCCTCCTCCTTTTCCTTAAAAGGGACTAGTTTGATGCAGAAAATATTTTGGGAAACACCTATCTCATTATTCCCAAAATTTCAGCCAATTCCTTTATATAGGACGGCAGACAAATAACCAGCAAAACCAACAAAAATCCCCATGCTATGAACAAGTAGCTTCAAAGGAAGTTCTGTAAGTTCATGGAACCACAGGAGCCCAAAATCCATAGGGGGGACCCTCTAAAAGTATTTTTTTATTTTTTAACAGACTCTATAGTATCTTTTCTCTATTATGATCAGGAGTGAAAGAAGTCAAAAAAAGAACCACACCTACTTCCCGATCTTGTCACCCAAAGAGAAATACGTTGGATTTTAATGCATGTAAAAACAGCCAGATAAATCCTGTATCAACAGCGTAAACGTAAAAACTAAACCACAGAACACATTCTCTACAGTGTTTGAGCTCAAACCTGAGTGGGGTTGGGGTGTGAGCTGAGGAAGTGGGAAAGGGAAGAACATAGCGCACCATCATCCCATGGAGAGCCTCTGGAATCACCGTTTCTCCCACCGCTGGACAGCTAAGGTCTGTTGGGAATTGTAAAAATAACTTTGTTTTTACCTGAACCGCAATGTAGAGTCCTGGTACATTAAATGATTCAAACATAATTTCTGCAAGATATTCTCTATTTTCTGGCGTATTCAGTGGAGGCTCTGTCTGTAAGAAAACATTCACTATATTTAGCCTTCACCCAAATTTCCTGTAATTAAATCAGAGCCAGGAAAAAATTAACCTAAAAGCATGTTAATTAGGATGCTGTACCGTTCCCTAATTTTACAGATAGAGTATATTTACAGTGATTAATTAAAGAAATCTGGTGTGGGTCTTAAAAGCTTTAAGATGGCAAAGACCTCTCAAAACATTTCTGCTCTTATTAACCACCCCAAAACAAGAACAAGTTACAGAAAAGGAAATTCTTTCTTCAAGAACATAATATCTAAAATACCCTGAAACTGAAAAGACCTGCAGCAAACTGCCAAGTGCAGTAAAAACTCAACCAAGACACGTGAAGACAAACACCAAGAGGGAACACCAGTGACTCTGGATCCCAGGCAAAGAATAGAGCTCTCCACAGAAGAGCAAAAGCATGAGTCAGCCCTGGCTTGGAACCAGAATGTCAGTTTGAGCAGAAGAGCTGGAGACGCCTCCCAAGCCCCACCTGCCCTCAGAGCGCATGAGGCAAGGTCAGAGGAAACATCCTCGTCGTCAGCTACAAGGCAGGAAAGTGCAGGTGAGAGGCAGCTTCACCCATACTCAGCACGGCCCCCAGCCCAGCCTGAGCTCAGCACACAGTCCAGGAAGAACTCCCCCAGAGTTCAGAGGTGAGGAAAGTACGCACAGAAACCAGCCAGACACCATACGGAAATACTAAAAGAAAACAAGAGGGGAGAGAGAGAAAACAGGAAAAACAAACAGCAGGCAAAACACGCATGCCCAGGAAGATATAAAAACAAAGCAGATACAAATCAAGACCAAGAACAGCTTGAAAAACTCAAATATCCATTTTAAAATCATCATTATCAAATAGGATTATAGAAAGATAAAAAGAATAAATAAACCTGCTTTTTGTCATTCAGCAGTATGTTGTGAACATTTTTCCATGTCAATAAATATGGACATACATCACATTTAACGCTGCAAAAAGAAAAAAAAAGAATAAATAAAAATTCTCTGGGCCTTTTGGCAAAAAACAAAAACAAAAAAGTCCACATGACCCTTCATTATAGACCGAACTGTGTCCCCAAAATTCATATGTTGAAGCCCAACCCCCAAAGTGACTGTATTTGGAGATGGAGCCTCTAGGGAGGTGATCACGGTTAAACAAGGCCATAAGAGTAGGGCCCTAATTCGCTATCATGAATGCCTTCATGAGAAAAGGAAGAGACACCCGAGAGCTCTCTCCGTCCCTACACGTCAACACAGAGGAAAGGCCACGTGAGCACATGGCAAGAAGGTGGCCACCTGCCAGCCAGGAAGAGAGCCCTCACCACAAACAACCCTGACAGCACTGGGATCTTGCACCTACAGCCTCCGGAACTGTGAGAACACAAATGCCTGTTGTTGAAGACACCCAGCCTGTGGTACTTTGTTTCGGCAGTTTGCACACACTTTGAAACCTCTCAAGTGGGAAAAGCACAGCTGGCCCCGGGGAAGGGGCAGAGCTTCATTTAACACTGGGACACATGGGGCCATATATATAGTCTTCTGAGCAGGAAGGTGTGACCCAAGAACTCTACATATGGTCACACTGCCAATCAAGCATGTTACAAAAACAAAATTATCTTTAAACATAAAAGAACTTGAAGAAGTGAATTAACTCTACCAGAAGATAAAGTTCAGCCAAAAAAAAGAATGCACAAAGTACAGCCAAAGACTTACAGTGAGCAATTAATCCATGTAGGATGTAGAACTAAAGACTGGTCTTTTCTGGGGTTTATACAATAGAATGCAAATGTTACAAATTAAAACAGCAGAAATAATATCAAGCTGAGAGGTATAAAAGAAAAGGAGAGAATATAAAAACAGTGATATCTTCTTATCATGGAAGTAAACACATCGTTCTAGACTGATCACATTAGTACACATCATGTTATAAATGTTGATATGAGAACAAGTTCAGTAACAACCAATCAAAAGCAGGAGGTAGAAGGAAGGAAGAGGAGGTAAGAAAATGTGGAAATGTACCAACTTGCTCACTAATCACAGTAGGAAATAGTTAATCACCCCTAAACAAATACCAGGTAAATATATACAATCATAGTTACACTAAAAAATGTTTTAGGGGCGCCTGGGTGGCTCAGTCGTTAAGCGTCTGCCTTCGGCTCAGGTCATGATCCCAGGGTCCTGGGATCGAGCCCCACATCGGGCTCTCTGCTCAGCGGGAAGCCTGCTTCTCCCTCTCCCACTCCCCCTACTTGTGTTCCCTCTCGCTGTCTCTCTGTCAAATAAATAAATATTTAAAAAAAAAATGTTTTAAAAAAAATACCAAATTATTAGAAAGAATACACACTCACTACAAAGCAAAGAGAAAACCAAGCCAGAGGTTTGTTTTTTTTTTTTAACATTTTATTTATTTAGTTGAGAGAGAGAGAGACAGAGACAGTGACAGAGATAGTAAGAGAGAGCACAAGCTGGTAGGGAGAGGGAGAAGCAGACTCCCCACCGAGGAGGGAGCCCGATGCGGGACTCGATCCCGGGACTCTGGGATCATGACCTGAGCCAAAGGCAGACGCTTTACTGACTGAGCCACCCGGGCACCCCACCAAGCCGGAGTCTTAAAAAATAAACACATAAAGAAAACACATTAAACAGAGAAAGCATAACAGAGTGTAAAATAGCTCATCAAAGAGCAAGCATGTCTGTCACGTAGCTGCAGGCCAGACCAGTGGAGTTCACATGAGGGTTCTGAAGTCCCAGTAGTTGGGTTAAATCCTAGCCTTCAATTTTACTGTGCTTGGAAAGTGATTTTCTGGGGCGCCTGGGTGGCTCAGTCATTTAAGGGGCCAACTCTGGATTTCTGCTCAGGTCATTATCTCAGGGTGGTGAGATCGAGCCCCGCATCAGGCTCTGCGCTCAGCAGGGAGTCGGAGCCTGCTTGAGATTCTCTCCCTCTCCTTCTGCCCCTCCCCCTGCTTGTGTGCACACTCTCTAATATAAATAAATAAATATTAAAAAAAAAAAAAGGAAAGTGATTTTCTCTCTCTGTCTGGAATTAGTACCTACCTCACAGAGCTGGAAAGACAGATGGAGTCTAAGTAAACTGTGTACAGCAGCACCTGGCACATGGAATGGGCTCAATGAAAGTGAGTTATTTTTACTAAAATCTTTAGCAAACACAAGTGAGAAACTCACCTACTAAAAAGAAAAAATGTCTCTCAGCTAAGACCATGAAAGAAAATCAAGTTACATTCTGTAGGCAAGACAGCCATCTAAAGCAAGATGCTCCAGAGAGGGCGAACGTCAGCCCTGGTCGTATGAGAAGATGAGAAACCTAAATGCCATCTTGAAGGGAGCGATTAGGTAAATTATGCGGCGTCCAGAGAGTAGAACACTCCACAGCAATTAGGAAGAACGAGCTCTCTCTGTGCCCCCAGGAAACAATCTGTGAGAAGCTGCTACATGAGAGAAAGGCGTCTCCAAGTCGTACACATGCTCAACTGTTCTTTGGTGTCAGTGATTTTTAACAAAAACTTTTTAGAAAACAGTGTGGGGAGGGAAACGGGGAGCTGCCCCCCAGGCATGGAGGCTGCTCGGCAAAAGCGGACACGGACTAGAGTTCCGCTTCACAGCAATGTGAACAGAGAACACGACTGAACTACGCATTTACAAACGGTCGGGGGGGTAAATTTCACATCACATGTTTGTCACAACATTTTTATTTTCTTGAATAAAAAAGAAACAAGGTGTACAAGGTATACACTTTGTTACCATGTGTATAAAACAAGAGTTTATGTATAATCCATATGCCTGTACACAATTACCTCTGGGAAGAGAAACAATTAGCTGGTTAAGAACTGATAAAGGTGGCTTCCTCCTGGAGGAGGGTCTGGGAACCAGAACAGAGGGGAGGGCGCCTGGGTGGCTCAGTCGCTAAGCGTCTGCCTTCGGCTCAGGTCATGATCCCAGGGTCCTGGGATCGAGCCCCGCATCAGGCTCCCTGCTCAGCGGGAAGCCTGCTGCTCCCTCTCCCACTCCCCCTGCTTGTGTCCCTCTCTTGCTGTGTCTCTGTCAAATAAAAAGATAAATAAATCTTTTAAAAAAAAAAAGGGTGCCTGGGTGGCTCAGTCGGTTGAGCGACTGCCTTCGGCTCAGGTCATGATCCTGGAGTCCCGGGATCGAGTCCCGCATCGGGCTCCCTGCTCGGCGGGGGGTCTGCTTCTCCCTCTGCCCCCCCCCCCTCTCGTGCTCTCTGTCTCTCATTCTCTCTCTCTCAAATAAAAATAAATAAAATCTTAAAAAAAAAAAAAAAAAGAACAGAGGGGAGAAGGAAACCTACTTTGCACTGGAAATCCTTCCGCACCTTTTGAATGCTGTGCTTTTGTATTACCTCATCAAATGAACAAACCTAGAGACCCGCCAGCTGCATGCTTTGGTTCAGACTCCTGCACAGCAAGCGGTACAAGGCTCAAACACAGTGCCACAAGGAAGTTTTAATCACTGTAATTAGAAGCAATATATTCCCTGGATGGGAGAGAGAAAGCAATCTTAAAACACAGGAGAGAAGCAATGAAGTCATATGCAAAAGCAGGTTGTAAATAAGGGATCTAAAAGTCACTCAACAATATATTACTTATGTTAATGTGCTTATTACCCTGAACGGCGGAGAGTAAATTTGTTAATACCTGTGAAGTGCCCAGCACATGCTTAACACTATAAATGTTAGTGTTTATTTCATTCAAAGCACATGATCAATGGCTGCAGATGTCCAACAATATTGGCTACAATGTCCCTCTCTTAAGGAACCTCCTATCAGTCTAAAAATTGGGGCTAATAACTACCTACCTACGCCTCAAGGTTGTTGGTAGAATGAAATAAATGAGTTAATACATGTAAACACTTGGGAGGCAGGGAGCCTGGGCACATAGCATGTATTCAAGAAATTCGGCTCTAATTATCAGTAAATGTTATTCAGACCAGCAGAAATAACATACATTAACTAAAGAGATCTACATTTTTTTTTCCCCTTTAACAGGAATCTAAGCACCTTAATAATAAGTTAAGTTTACTTAAAAAAAAATAAGGGGGGCATTTAAGCTGCACAGAAGGGGGAGAGAAAGGTTTAAAATGTCGGAAGAGCATGAGCATAGGTCACATAAGTCAAGGAGTGCTTCCTGCCTACCAGGTAGGAGCTTCCTACGTGGTCTGGAGCAAAAGGTGAGCCTCCAGGAAGATACCACCAGCAGAGAGTAGATTAACCCTGGCTCCCCGGATCTCTCCTGGGTTTAAAATCTGTGTCAAATTATGTACCAAATAACCCCAAATGGATGAAGATTGATATAAACATCAAAGGAAAATAGATTTACTACATAAAAATTTAAAGTTATAGATGTTCGGGCGCCTGGGTGGCTCAGTTGGTTAAGCGACTGCCTTCGGCTCAGGTCATGATCCTGGAGTCCCTGGATCGAGTCCCGCATCGGGCTCCCTGCA